CTGGGATCGGAGATCAGCCGATCACTGGTCCGGAAATCACATGATCGGACAATTCCCCCTGCATTCTGATACAGTCCTGCGTGCCTATCTTCGACACGTGCCTTGGTGGCTCCTCGGAATGACGACATTTTTTGTACCCAAGTGTGACGACAAACTCGTGAACTCATCGTCACTCGAGTGACGACGCACAAATGATCATGTCGTCATACATAACAGTTATGTTAAACCGACTAGTTCAGTGGTTAAATAATGTGACAGTAAATGAGGAAGAGTACTGGTTGGGGGACTGTGCAATAAAGAAATATATGAATAAAAAATATTTTTTTAGTGTAAAGTTGTTGAAATATTAAAAATTTGATAGTAAATGAAATTTTACTATTAAATTTTTTGACTAGATAGTTTTTGCTATAAATCTTTTTTTGATGCATTAATTTTTTTAGATTATATAATATTAAAAATCTTTCTATCTATCTTGAACAAACAAATCTTTTAGCTTGCAATAATTTTTCTTATATTTATTATAATACCTACCCGAGTAAAGTAGTATTTTCTGATCTTAGGGGCATACCATTTATCACGTAATTATTTTTAATAATATGATCTTCCATGCAGTGTTGTCACTTGGACGTAAATCCAGCAATTTGATTAGTCAGGACACTTGTCCCAACCAATCAAATTGCTGGATTTACGTCCAAGCGACAAAGTGTGATTGTGACAACTAGCCTATCACATAAGTCGTGATAACTAGCTTACCCCATGTATCCATGCCAATAATAAGATAATTTTGGTTATCTGTCACATGATTTTAGAAGTATAAGACAGGAATTATATAATGTAAAACACATAAATTTCCATAAATTTTGTGAACGAAAGTCATCGTTCCTGCGATTTTCTATTAATGAAAACAATTGTTTAATTAAGAAACACATTTTTTTATAATTAATAAAACATAAGTATATTCATTTAGTTTTTTTAATTTGATAAATATTTCCATGTCCTTTTTGAGTTTCGAAGAACAACACTAATTGATAAGTAAATTCTTGATTAATATAATTTATTCACTATTTTTGATTATGTTAAACGTAAAAACTTCAAACTATAATCAAAATAAGGTTTTATAACTTCTTAATTAGGAAGTAAATACCAAACTCAATCCGTGGTTAACATTAAGAAATGGATTAACGTTAAATCTTGTATTTACTTCCTAATTAAATTTGTTTTGATTATAAGTGGTCTGATTTCTTTTTCTCGAAATTTTTTCACTCCTTTTGGCATTATTTTAATTGTAACAAACATCTATTTTTTATAAACGAAATGCGACTCTTTGTTCGATTACCATACTTGCTGTCAAGAATGAAGAAAAACTAGCCATTTTAGTAAATATGGAAAATATGAGAATGAAACTCCAAATGTATTTATTGTAATCTCATGTGATCAGTGTCATTACATCAAGTAAATGGCATTGAGTTGTCATTGTCTACTGGGTATTGTCCTTGATTGTGTAATTTGTATGACAGAACTGTGTATGTGGCTGCGTCACTTTTGATTGTACTTGGGAATAAAAATGAGATATGCATTATTTATATTATTGAATTGGCGCATATCAATCAGTAATGACTTACTTTGTACTTGTCATCATCGACGATAGCAAATTGCGCATGTTGATACAGAAACTTGGTGATGTGCGGCGTCTTGGGATAGGATACTAAAACCAATCAATCATAGAAATAGATTGATATGTATAAATAGATATTATATATTGTTAATAAACAATAACGCATGCACAATAAATTAGTTTTTTAAAATTGTGGGGAAAGTTCACTTGTTCGAGCAATGAATTCGATCATTTTTACTTTGTGTCAAAAATCAATTATTCTCCAAAATTAAAATAGTTTACTAGTGCATAGTGTGATAGCAGGTAATATTTGAATTTCTTCCTGATTGGATAAAGAAAGACACCTTTCCCGGTGTCTCAACTTGATTCATTTGATCGAAAATTTATTCTCCATGTAGAAATTTATAATCGCAACACAATGTTAGACATAAAAATTTGAAATAGTTAATATTAATTAACAATGATAACTATTTGATTCGGGTGGTATAAAACAAACACCATTAGGAAAGAAGGAAGAGAGATAATGTTAAAATGTATCACCAAAACCTGACAGAGTAAATAAAAAAGAGAGCGAGTAAAAACTGAATGCTTTCTTTTTTTTAATGTTAAACAGCATCCAAAGCAACATCATGTAAATTAATCATCATATAGCTGTACCTCCACGCGGTTCTTGAATATCGATTGAGTACACGCGTGTGCACAGCTTTCTTTCTTTGGATACAATACAGGAATTTATATACACACCACTACACCGTACACATCCATATATGTTATTAGAAACTCGGAAATCCCTTTTCAAATTCATATTCATTTAGTTCAATTATTAAATATTACTGCTTTTAAATTATACTGAGCAAAGATACTCTATATAGCCATAAATATCGAAAATGACATGTGACTTATTACGCACAAGATATATGAAAAAAAAAGTGTGTGCGGTGTTATGCGAATCGGATGACCAACACACTTCTTTTTGCCGCACCTCGTTGTTGTTCTTATTGTGTAGTGTGTTGTATTCTCTTGTTCCCCTTTTTTTTTAATATATAATTTTATATTATGTATGCATTCTTTCGATCAAGTATTAAACCAGTTGCTTGCTCCGATTTTTTCTGACCTTTTTCCTTTTTTTATATATTCAATCTCTTTTCTCAATTCTCTTTTTTTTTTAACACACTCTCTTCTCTTACTTTCTCTCTATTCTTTTTAATAAAATCTTGATAATTTCAACCGTCATTAACGTAATCGAACGAAAAGAGACCAGAAGTAAAAATCAGCAGGTCAAACCTCATTTCATACCACTACTTGCCTAAACGGATAAAGTAAGTTAACAGGTCATCCCTTACTACCGTCATCTTCTTCAAACTCGTTCATTCCAATAAATAAAATAAAATAATAAATAAATAGTTTTTGTTTATGCATGTGTGTGTGAATTAACGTTAATATATCACACGCACGCACACACACATATATATATATATTAAGTAAATTAAATTATAGAGAATTAATTTTTTTCTTCCTTCTTAGTTTAACCTTTCTCTCTCTTCATATACACAAAGAAAATAATAATGGCTAGCAGCGAAACCGCAACAGTCGAAAAACAAGTAGCAAATGAAGAGGCTTCCGATACTAATGCCACAACTACAACCATCACAACTACCACAATAGAAACAACAGAAATTAAAACTGCCAAAATCGAAAATGGAGAAGTTGAAGAAACTCCTACGCAAGTCGTTCCCACCTCTAGCGAAGTAAAAGAGGCAGAAAAAAAAGTGGGTGAAACGCTGGCAGAGGTAGTTAAAGATAAAGAAATTGAACAAGAAAAAGACGAAAAGGTTGTCGAGAATGCTGAACAAAAGCCAGGAGAGGAAAAAGATTTCGAGGAAATTAAAGAAGGCAAATTATATAAAAGAAGTAATATCCTTCGTAGTTGGAACGATCATTACTTTGTATTTCGCGAGGAAAAAGTTGAAAAGGAAAACCTTACAATCTTTTACAAGAAACACTGCAAATCTCATGCTTCCTCAAAGCCTATTAAAGTTTCTGCTACTTCTACTACGCCTCCCACTACTACTACCGAAACAACGACTGAAGGTGGTGTTGAAACTACCACTACAACTACAACTACCGTCACCGCCACTGCAACAATCGCTGATGTCGAAACAGAGTCTGATTTTGAAAAACAGAATAAAGTGCTATTCACAACTATCGCACATGCAACACAAACTGGCAAAGGTTTATTATTCTATTATAAATCACTCAAATCTCAAAATCGTCTCCAACCCCAAGGAATCATTAATCTCGCTGATATTGTGGAAGTAAACACAAGTCCATCAGTTAATAGAAGTTTTGCATTCAGTATTAAAACGAAAAATCGCGAATATTTTTTCAACGCCGAAAGCGACAAAGCTATGAAAGATTGGGTTAAGACTATTGAATTAAAATCAGAAGAAGCGAAAAAGCTCGTTACTGAATTATATAATACTCAAGGTTTCAAAGAAGTTTATAATCAATTGGGTAAGTTTATTTATTCGCTTATTCATTTATTATTCATTATACGATCGACTAATGACTAACTATCTATGAATAATCTAGTTGATCGTAAAGAGCCTTTTAGTGGCAAGAAAATCGATGGAGTTGGTTCTGGCACAGAACTTATGTCTTCGGGTGATGAGATTGAAGGGCCTGAAGCATCGGAATCAACCACTACACCTGTTCAAAAAACTCCTACCGAGCAAAAACGTAAAACTTTCCCTTTCAATTTCATTAGTGGTGTAAAAAAGATGACCGAAACCGAGGAAACCACGAAAGAACCTACTGGAGAAACTACCACCGAAGTCGTCACGCCAATTATTACGACCATCACCGAGGAAAAACCCAAAGAACCCGAGAAATCTCCCGATGGACGAAAAGGAAAAGGAGGATTCTTTAGTTTTATCCCAAAAACGAAAGAAGGTGAAGTCAGAGAAAAAAATGAAGAAGAATCAAGATCTGATGAAGAAGTTGTAGCCGAGACTAGTTCTGTCGCCGCCGCCGCCGCTGCTGCTGAAGAATTAAAGAAAGAGGAGAAACATGAAGAGAAACATGAAGAGAAAAGGGATGGAATCCTTAAGACATTGGGAAAGAAGATAATTGATGTATTAAATCGATTAATTAATTATTGCTATTTCGACATAACCTTCTCGTAATTGTATTAATATTAATGCTATTCGATTTAATTTAGTCTCTTCCTGGTAAAGAACAGCAAACAACCGAAACAGCAAAAACCGAAACAGTAACACCCACCGAAAATACTGAAGTTACAGATGATGCTGTGGTCACTGAAACAACAGCGGAAACAACTCCTGAAGCACATAAAAAGGAAGAAAATTCGATATTTAATATATTTAGTAAGAAAAAAGGAAAAGAAGAAAATAAAGCTGAAACACAAAAGTCCGAAACAGAAGAAGGTTAATTATCTTTTAATGATAATATTTTTATTTTTTAATACTTGAAGACTAATTTATTTAATTATAAATAATAAATATCATTTAGCTGGTGTAAAAGTTGAAGGTGAAGAAACAGCTCAAAAAGTAGAAGGTGAAGTTAAAGCAGCATCATCATCTTCAGCACATAAAAAGAAACCAAGTTTTAGTTTTTTCAGCAAAAAATCCGAGGTAAAATCCGACACCGAAGAAGAACACAAAAAAGAAGACGATACAGCATTAGAAAAGACTCCTGAAGAAACAGCGCCGGAAAAAGATGAAGATAACCTGCCAAAGAAAGAACCTCTCGCTCGACGACTCACTCAAAAATTTTTATCCAAACCAAAACCACCAACAGAAACAAAAGTCGTAGAAACACCGACCGAAACTATTGAAGGGGAGACAACAAATACAGCGGTCGAAACTGCAAATGCAGATGAGGGAAATGAATCTCAAGAAGCAGCAGAAAGCTCCGCTGATCCAAAAGGAATACAATCAATTTTTAAAAAGTTTGTATTTCGACAATATTTTATTCTTAATACGTAATTTTATTCGATATTTATATTAATTTTATTTTTTTTAACATTAATATTTATAGAATCTTGAAACTTGGAAATTCACATCCATCACCCAGTGAAGCAACACACGAAAAAGAAGTAACATCAGGTTCAACAGAATCACGTGAAATCGCCGCTGTGCCAGAATCAACTACTGAAGACAATGCCAAAGCTTCAACAGAACCAAAAGTCGCCAAATCAGAAGAAACAGAAAACGAAAAAAACGAGAAACTAATAAAAAAGAAAGCCGAAGGAAGTGTAAAGGATGGATATCTCCAAAAACATGCGCAATTCTTCAAAAATTTACAATCTCGATACTTTATATTCTCAAAAGAAGGCACTTTGACTTATTTTAATGTGGAGAGACCTGAAACTCCGAAAACGGTCAAAATTGATCGCGGGGTTGTCATTGAAAAAACTAACGACCATAGACAAGTTTCGTTTGAGATAAAGACCAAAACACGTGATTATTCGTTAGTTGCAAAAACTAAAGAAGAACGTGATGAATGGGTTAATGTGTTGCAAGAGTATCAGAAAAGTTTACCTGAAGAATCTTCGTCATCAAGTAATGTAAAAGATTCAGTTGCAACGCTTGAAGTAGCACCACCAACTGAAGAAAATGAACTAGTTGAATCAGTTGAAGAAGCAGCCAAGAGAGTGCAAAACGAATCAAATGTTGAAAATAATGAAGCAGATGTCGAGACTAAAGAAGCGGATATTGAGACTAAAGAAGCAGATGTTACTTTACCTGCTGCTGCCTCTTCTTCCAATCAAGCTGGTGTTGAGTCAACCGAAATTGTTGATGAGAAGGAAAAAATAGCTAGTTCATCATAATTACGATTTCTATTTTCCATCACTTTTAAAAATTACCTGTAATATTTTAAAAAATTTTATTTATATTAATTTTCTTATGTAATTCTTTTACTTTCCCTTATTATCTACCCTTAATAATTTGTATTTTATTATTAATAATTTGGACTTTCTTATTTCTTATTTCTATTTTATATATACAAAATATAATAATTTTCAATTTCTTAATCAAGGTGGGAAGAGAGAAATCAGCAAGATGACGAAAGGAATACATTAAAAGATTATGCAAAGGATTCTTAGTCTTTCAATTACAGGATATTCGATGAAAAAATGAGTATTGAATAGCTCTCTTTATTTAGGAACCTGTTAATTATCGGTTATGGGAGTGGACGTAACAGAAAGACGCCCTTTTTTCATTACTTGTATTATCAATAATGTCATACAACTCGATATATTTCTTACATATACATCATTTAGCATACACATTTATAATTTACTATCCACTATATATTATTATTTAATAAAATTTTATATTCAGCTTGAAATGTGGTATACATGACTAATTGTCATTTATTGACACATAGAAGGCATCACAAAGTATCGATTTAAATTATTCTGCAAATTAATACATGTATGTCAAACGACATGTAATAAACTTTATACTTGCATATTTAAAATATTGCCATATTTAGCTAGTAAAAAAAATACAAAACAGTCTATTTTAGAAAAAGATTAACGATTTATAAATAAATTAGAAAATAAAAAAAATACATGGAATCTACAAATAAAAAATAGCAAAAATGTGTATTTTTCCACCGAAACTCGAAGCTATATCTAAATTCACGTGAAACAGCCCAACACGCCTTCATTCCTGACCATCTTCTGGAGGTAGACCATCATCCACTAGAAAAAGCGAGTATAAAAAATTTCAACCAGCAGCAAATAACTGATTTGTATATAACTTTTTGTCTGTATATACGATAACTCATAGGAACGACGCTTCTTACCTCGCCTTCGGTAAATTGTAATTTCTTGTTGTTTAAAATACCGTCGATTTTCTTCATCAACGAGAACGAGATTCAGATAATAACGAGTCGAGAATTTTTTGTTCACGTCACGAAAAGTAGGCGTAAGCTCAAATCCACCCAAAAACAAACGAATAGGAATTGTCTCACCTTTTTTTATAAAATTAATTGATTGATCAAGAGTGAAAAATGATAAGCATAAAAAAATATTTCAATGAACTTTACCGCGTACTGGCGCACCATCCATAATTTCAAATCTAGTAATAGTTTCACTTTCGTTATATTGATTTGGTGCTAGAAATGAATGGAATAAATGACAATCTAAAACAATATCATAATATCACTAGTACTACTACAAAGGCTTCAAAATATGTAATAAACCTGCGCCTGTTGTCTCACGTCGAATAATCGATAGTTCCATATACTTGATCTTTATACGAACTAAAAGAAAATATATTTTCCCCACGATAACATCTTTAAGATGATACCTTTAATTAACCCACCAAAAAAATCCATTATTATAAAAATATATATTCTCCTTCTTAAAATAAACAAATATACAACTAGAAAGTTTATTCACCTTGATTTATTATACTCAAATTCGATATGTAAACAATCTTCAATACCAACTTCCATTTTTATGGAGTTGTTAATATCCGGCGGCATACGATACGAATACACCCATATATCTTTTTCTTTTACGATATCAGTGGTCAAACGTCTCGAGATAGTCACTCTGACAAAATACCTAAGAATATTTTTTTATATATTTAATAATAACATTTTATATGAGATTGAGCTAGGAAACCAAAAATTTCGAGGTAAAAAAAGCAGATACCTCAATTTAACATTTATTCCATGATAACTTTCATATTGCTTTTCGACATTTTTGAATTCAAACTTGAAAGATTGCGGTTGGCGCATCTCACCCGGTACAGCTAATTCTTGAACTAATGATGTAAATTCATAATGGTTGCCACGATCATAAAAAAGCTCTACAACGAGTATTATTATAAACACGTCAATCAACCTAAATACAATTCAATCAATGATAAAATCTAGTCGAAATCTCTACCAATATTTCCTACAAATTCTATTTTTATCCCTTGATGTTCGATTTTTTTGCCTTCTCTTGGTCGAATCGTTATCTATTCGAAAATTATCTCATGAACATTTTTTGTACAGGTAAACATTTGTACATAAAGTTGAAAACTTTGATTTTCCCAAGTGAAAACAAAACTTACTTGACCAGAAACAGTTTCCCCATCAAAGTACAAGGGAAACTTTTCGCGCCGATCTCTATCGACTTTTACTTCCACTAACTTTCTTTGTTCTTCTCCTACAAAACGAACATCAATATCCACAGGAGCACTAAAGCCAAATAAGCTCTAAAGTAAAAAAGGAATATATTTATAAACGAAAGCTTAAGCACAAGCATGAAAAATAATAAAGTTTAGCATGTATACCGCCATGATTTGAAATATTAAGGTAACAAGATAAGTGCGAAAATCTCGAAGCTATGTACTCCAGCTTACCCCCACAATCGATTTTCCCTTCACGTGATTTTTCCGATCCCTGACTATCTCGAAACCAATAAGAATGCGCAAATTTTTGATTAACCTGGCAAAACAAATACCTAAATCTTGTTTTGGTTAATAAATAATATATTAGGCAAGTAATTAACTTTATAAAGTTAGTCACTTGTCTAATTAAAGATTCTACTCTTATTGAAAAAAATCTAATAAGCAAACAAATAAGTAAATAAATAAATATATAATTTTAAGTTTTGTTACAGGAGAATACATAAATAACATGTAATATTATATCAAATAATAAAGTTTATAAAATATAATTTCAAGTGGGAGAGAGAATACAAATATCTAAAGATAGATAATATATGTTCATTTGTTGGTTAGCTAAAATAAAATCAGAAATATTTAAAGATAGTTATATTCTTTTAAATATATATATATATAAACAGATAAGTAATTTTTATTTAATTATTAATTACAATAATTTTGCAGTTAAGACAATATCACAATTTAATTTTTAGGACTCTTTTTGATATTTATTATTAATTATAATTTGTTTTCAACCATAATTATTAATTATATTTTTCATAAAATTAATCTATAATAAGTTATATGATTTTGAAATCTGTACGTAATAAATGTGTCTTCTTCTATTATCAAAATAGATTACTATTACTAATAGATTTTTTTTTGTTTACTTAGTGTAAGTAAGAACAATCCTAAAGCAATATAGTATTAATATTCTTTAGCAATCTGGTTGAGTATTTAATATAATTTGCAATAAATATTATTATTATTTAGTAAAATTTTATATGTTAATAATAAAGACAATCAAGTAATAAATATTTAATTAAAGACATTTTATTTAAATTATTAGTTGAACTAATTGCTATAACTTTATTATATTGGATCTAATTGATTATAATTTGCTGTGTTGAATCTAATTGATTATAACTTGCTATAAAATTAGCTATATTTATATCTAATATTTTATGATTAAATTATTATAATATAAAATATATTATACAAATAAGATAATTATGATATAGTGTTGATGAATAAGTTAAATATATCAGATATCTTGAATATATATTATTTAATATGATTGAAATTAAGAAATTATAAAATTATAAAATTAACTAAATAATAATAAATCACATATAAAATTATATATATAAGTCACATATAAAAATTATATATTAAAATCACATGAGTTTCAGCTTCATCCAATTTCAGCTTCAGCTGTCACAATTATTTAATTATTTAATTTAATTTATTCTTATTGGACGAATTTGAAATCATGTGACTTTTATGTGTAACATATGATTTCAACATGTGATTTCTACATGTGACTTGTACATGTGATTTTACATGTGATTTATTATTTATTATTTATTAATTAATTTAA